CATTAAGTATGTGGGCTGACTTCGAGTTTGTATAACTAGTCAATTTTGTGTATGTATAATTTGCCAGTATATCCAAATACATTATGTATAATATACAAATATTTAACCTATATGCATATACAATTCACCTTTCTCCCACTCTCTGCCCTCTGTCGCTCACCTCTCTCTTCCCTCTCCCAATCTTGCTCACCTCTCTCCTCCTCTCCTGATCTTGCTCACCTCTCTCCTCCCTCTCCCTGTCTCACTCGCCTCTTCATCCCTCTCTCAATCTCTCTTGCCATATATACAAATACATATATATAATATACAATTCACCTTTCCCTCACTATTTCTCCCCCCTCTTTCTCGCCTCTCTCTACCATATAACATGTTGGTACAAATTGTAATTATCAAATTATAGTTATAGAGAGTAATTAAACTATTTTTATGTGGCTGTATGTCAAAGTTTCCCAAAATAGTTTGAGAACATTTCATATATGGCAAACTGAATTTTGAAATAACATTATATGGGTATAGTTTACATAATTACATTTTATGGGTATAGTTTAGTTTGTTATTTGGCTTTTAATTTGTATAAAATGTTTTTTTTATTAAAAAATTATACTATATTTTACTTTTCCATTAAATAGTAAAAGTATCCCTAAATACGTAACAAACATTTACATAATCCCATAATTTAAGCTAATCATAATCAAATATTTTCTCAAAAAGAATTCTATAACGAAAGAAAGACTATACAAACTTGTTTCTGAAAAACTAAACTCTTTAATGTATATAAAGTTTATATAAGAATGTAAATAAATTGAAGGAAATATCAATTGTTTAATTTGTACCAAATTGCAAAGTAAGTATTATATACATATACAAGTAATTGTATATGTATAAAATAAAAATATGAATATAGTACTTGTATATACACAAATTCCTCAAACAATTTTGTATATAATAACGTAAAATACAAAAAATTGTGATTTAAAAAAAATTATTACACAAATAATTGTATTGATTTTTTTAAAGTACTTATTTATATACAAATATAATTAGTTGAATATACAAAAAATTGTATATGTATAAAAAAAGTTTATATATTAATATAAATAAAATGAATATAAAAATATAAAAAAATTGTATATGTAATAAACAAAGTTATATATGAATGTAAATAAAATGAATATCACTTGTATATATATAAATATAAATATGAATATAGTAGTTTTATATACAACCTCAAGCAGTTTTGTATATAATAACGTAAAATATAAAAAATTTGTGATTTAAAACAAATAATTTTATCAATTTTTAATGTAATTACTTATATACATATATAACTGATTGGATATACAAAAAACTTAAAATATGAATATAACAACACAAATCCATTGATCATTTTTATATATAATAATTCGATGTACAAATAACTATACACACAATATTCAAGCATGTAATTTTTACGGATGGAGATGAATCTTTCATTCTGATTTTGAAGAACTTGTAATTTGATAAGAAAAAAAAATTAAAAAAGATATATGAAAAACTAAGAAGTATAATACATAGACAATTGTTGATGAAGGAATTTTTTACTTAAAAAAAATAGATTCATGGATTGATTTTAGCGATTACCTACGAAAATTGAGAGAAAGACTAAATGGAGAACGTGAAATCTTCCTTGAAATTCAAAATAGAATGGAGGAGTGATTTTAGGAGAAAGATATGTAATAAGGATAGGAGAGATAAAATTAAATTTGTATAAAATTATATAGAAATCATAAATAAGTTTGTTACTTGTATACAAATAGGTGGAGGATCCCATTAATTAGGCAAAATAATAAAACTATAACCACTGAGAGTAAATAAATTAAACTATACCCTTAATAATTAATAGGATAATTGTAGGGAATGACAAACTAATAAAATAATTATATGCAGTAACTTCCCTTTCACTTATTACCTTTAAAGGGCAAAATATCGCTCAATTTGCTATAGTAGGGCCCTCCGAATTGTATAAAATCCCCCCCCCTTTCCAAAACAAAACCCTTTTTTTTTCCTTCTCTTTCCTCTTCATATTATACAATCTCTTCTTCTTTTCTTCAATTTCTCTTTAATTAACTCCACAAATTCAATTTCAAAATTTCAACTTCTTTAGCACGTCTTTGCAGTTTACTAAAGTATTTCAAAAATTTAAGGTGTTGCCCAAAAACTCATCTCACTTTATCAATTTTTGTTAATTTTTTTTTAATTTCTTCAAGTTAATTTTTAACTTCACTTCATAATGCTTTCAGATTTTTGGTTCAAACAATGGATGCCCAATCTCCATCGAAGAGATTCATGAGATATACCCATTGCATGTTGAAAATAATGTTGAACACCCATCGTTTTCCTTGGGTCTAATTCAGAATTTTGAGGAGATTTCAGGTATAATGTCTAAATCGAACACCATGCAAAAGATCATATCCAAATTGAGGAATGACCCAACTAGATTTGTGGATGGAGGTGTGAAAGATCATGCCGAGTTGTTGCTGGGTCAAGTAAGAAAATGAAAGTTAAAACTGACGTTTATGCAATACATAATGATAAAAATGAAGTTGTTGGTTCTGGGTCATTCGAGCATCATAAGGTATCTGTATAATCATTGTTTATACGTTTCGATTATATATTATATTTATATTTTGTGTTGAATCGTGTATTATACTGCCTGTTTATTCAATTGTGGTTGTTTAAATGTATAAATGTATAATCTATCTTAGTAATTGTTTTTTGTGTTTGTGTTGATTCATGTTTATACAATTTTGATTTTATAAATGTATAATCTATCTTAGTATCTGTTTTTGTGTTTGTGTTGATTCATCTCTTATATTGTCTGCTTATACAATTGTGCTTGTATAAATGTATAATCTATCTTATGTATATGTATATAACTAAACAGGTATATGTATAGAACTGACAAATTCGTATAAACATACAACAGGTTCATACACTTATACAACAGTTTCAGCCTTTATATAACAAATTAAAGCTTTATACAAATATACAATTCACGAAAAAACACTAAATAGGTATATGTATATAACTGAAAAATTCTTTTAAACATACAACAGTTTTATATACTTATACAATTCACCAAAAAAACACTAAATAGGTATATATCTATATGCATGACAGTTTCATATACTTGTACGATTCGTATAAACTGATAGTTTTAATAGCTTGATCGATTTTTTGAATTGACTACAATGGGGTTCTTTCAGTTGAAGGATACGAAGAAGAAATGAAATTATACTAAAACAGAATCCACGTGATTGCTGGGATTTTTTCCCCCTTTTCATCCAACCGAGAGTGCTACCTTTTTTAATTTGAACAATGAAAATGTATAAATTATACAAAAAATACATCCGTAGCAAACTACAATTTTGCTATGAAATGCAATTTTGAAAACTTTGCTAGTGCACAAAATTATTAATTTTATATTTGCTATATATAAAATTTGTCCATAATTAATTATGTCATACAATTTTCCCAAATAGTTTCTCCTATTGATTGACCCTTGCAAAAGCCCACATAACTACATGGGCCTAAGAAGCTTGTAGACTTTATAGCAGCCCCTCCCGGTCCCAACGGCTAGTTTTGTAGCATTGGTATTAACGGTCGTATTTTCGCCCCTTTTATCCTATAAATATATATATTAGCAAAATCCCCCAATTACGATACCTTTCTCTGTTAACGGTATTTTCTTGATCGAAACAATGGAGACTCCACTTATTGCAATTAAAGAATCTGAAAAGAAGGAAATGGCGAAGAAATCAGCTCTTTTTGATATTACAAATGGTTCACCAATTGTTGGCCTAGCTACAGGGGTTTTGAAAACCCCATCATCTACAGTGTCTAGGAGAAAATGTTCTACTCCTGGTTCAGGGGAAGCATTGTTGAGAGGTCAAGTGAAGAATTTATTGCAAATGGTTGAAGAAGAAGCTCAAATCTCATGGGGGGAAACGACTAATATCTTTCATGTTGCCCCAACTCCAGCAAATACTCCTCTTATGGATCTCCTCTCTACCGATGAATTGCTGCCACCTGTCACCGCATCTCCAGTGGAAGACAAGTTTGTCATATCTCAGGTATTTGTTTGTGTGATTTTAATTTAATTAACTAACTTTTGAATCTCCTGGAATGTACCAAATTGTGGTTTAAAAGGGGGAAAGAAACAGTTTATTAAAGGGAAAAATAATTGCTAACATTCTACGGTGTGTTGTAGATATTGAATAAGATTGTGTATGAGGGAAAGAAGAAGCAAGAGAGTGTTGAAAGTGAGATGAGTGTTACAAGATCTCTACTGCTGGATTTTTGTGACAAGTCAGAATCATCGGTTGGTTTCTTCATACACCAAGAAGACGAAGAAGAAGAAAAAGAAATTGATGAACTATGTGAAGCAATAAGCAGTATGAGTGTTACGGTAGGAGGACAGAAATTTGCTGGCAAAAAAACCAAGTTTGTGTACAATAGTGACGATGAATTTGTAGGAGTTGAGGATGAATCTGCAGCTTCACCAGAAAGGATTGACTAATCACCCTAAAGAAAAAGGCTATTTTAATTATTTTTTTTGCTGTTGTGGTTTCTGCGAAGACACCAAGAACTGAGGTGTTGTGGTTTAATTACACTGATTCTGTAAGTTTTGGTTCATATTTCATTTGGACCATTCAGAATAATTTGTTGTCAAGTCCATGTTTTTTTGTATCTTTGGGAATTTGCTTCAACAAAATTACAGTGCTTTGTTGTTAAATGCTTGTAATTCAATGGGAACATCATTAAAATGTCGATTGAATGTTTAATAAAATATGTCTCCGATAGTATAATTTGTGTTTTGTCTCTTCACCATAATGTAAAAAACCTTAGGCTCTAAAAAGTAGAATTTCAGATAACTGAAATGTGTTAAACCAAAAACGATATATCATTTGTGCATTTCTTCTGATAGAATTACATCATATGAAATTGAACACGATCAAAAGTAATCAAAAGTTGCAATTTTAAAGTAAGAATGGGACCAATTTTCACCAATATTTCAGCTTCAAATTAACGTGGAAACTCGCAAGATCACATATCGAGCCTAAATCAAGATATCCAGGTTTGAAAAATAAAATGAGAGCACAACAACACCAAAATTTCTCATAATTGCAGAAGATGATGGACCAATCTGCATAGTCACGACATGCGTCTAATCATCTATAGAAACCCTGACACTTTCCCTATTTATAGAAAATATGGCTTTGAATGATATCTTTACTATTTCCTTATTCTCTTCTCGTCTTCCCAACTGTTTTCAGGTCCTTGTCTCAACTACTTTGAGTGCCATGGTTTATAGGTTTTTGATTTTTCATATCTATCTGCTTCATGGGATATAGGCTGAAGACCTAGTAAATCCTGTTCAGGAGCACATCCAATTGGTCTTCTAGATTCATTCATTCTCCTAAACGTAATTGATATTCTGTTGTGCATAATGAGATGTTGACATTTTTAAGTAAATAGTTGACGGAAGATTAACCAAAGACTCAAAAAAAAAGTTAATACACTTTCAGCAATATACCTTTTGGTAGGAACAGCTGGCACACAATGTTTAGCTACATCAGCTCCATTCCCATTCAAGACGAGTACAGACCTGGAGGAAAGTTATCACAATTTAATAGTCTTTGAAATCTAGTAAGGATATAGGTAAAACTCAGAAGACTTACCCCATTGGCAGGGGAATTGCAATTGCACCAGCAAAGTCACCCGGACCTACAATTTTCAAGTTTGATCCAAACACTACATTGCACTCGCTGAGGAAAGAAACAGTACAAAATGGACGAAAAAAATCATGACTGTCAATATGAGGTGGTATGCAATCTCCCACATCATAAATATTGACAATACAGCTGTCTGGAACACAATCTGGAGGCAATACATGCCATCTTACAAGCCTTCTAACCATGCTCTTAAGAAGATCAGGCAACGGGTCAACAGTTTCACTCTTGAGAATCCCTGGGGAGTTGCCTTTTTTGTCCTGCCATAAAAAATAATTCAATTATCATCATATCTCTACATTCCCTTTTTCTCAATGATCGACTCATATCAGTCACAACCTTGTTTAAAAAGGTAAGAATTAGAAGGAAAAAGTTCTCTGGTGATGGCCTAAAATCTAAAGTATACAGCCTATGATTCTGAGCGTATCCTCTTTTCTCTCCTCCCACTTGGGGCTGTGGGTGGGGGAGGAAGAGATTAGGATAATTTCAAGAATGTCAAAGACTTACTGTAGCATAGTTGTAACAACAACCAAATTGGATTGTCGCACGTCCCTTGCCCCTCATCCATTTCTGTGGCGCTGTATAAGTTCGCTCTAAAAGAATCAAAGCATTTAGGTTAGAGCATGCTAGTGCATGAGGTTAATAAATGTACAGATATGGGTATGGAAACATAGTAGAAAGAAAATTTACTTTCCACAACCATCAATCAAAAAATATTAACCCCATCAAACTAATTGAAGAGGGAAAAAAATTACTTAAATCATAATGATAAACCACCAGAATTGAATTAAGATTCAGAATTGAAATTTGAGGCGTAGCATAAATCATTTATGCAAATTCATGATCCTTAATAAAGTAACCACACAGTTGAAGTCTTCCTAAATTTATGCCTCAAATCTCATTTGACTTTGTTTCCCATATCTCATACTCAATGACATACTGGATTACCTTATCTGGTATCTTATCTTTTCAATCAGGAACACTTTCTAAGGTTTAACAAGAAAAACAACTAGTCATATTCATATCTATCTCAAATCGAAGGAGACATAAGCAAGTTTTCTCTAGTTCATCAAAAAGCTCACGAATACGACAGTAACATTTATCAGAAAGAACAAAAAAAAATGATTTGCATAATTAATAAGGAAATACTGACCTTTTAACTGTCCACTCTTCCCTATCTCCTCAAGTTTCTCCACAAATTTAACTATCCTATTTTGCTCAGCCATGCTGAAGACACCAGTATGTAGCTCCAAGCCATCAAGTATATTCACAATCTTCCCATTAACCCTCTCCAAACAAATGAAGTCCTTTTTCCTCTTTACATTACAAAACCGAATGTGCTCTCTCTGCTCCATAGACAACTCCATTTTTGGCTTAGCCCCCTGTACAGAAGTTTCCTCTTTGTTCATACCATTTCCATTACGTAACTGGCTACTACAGATACTTGACTCACTAATCTCTACAGCATCAAGCTCATCTGCCAATGGCATTTTCATCCTCCAGATTGCTGTAGGTCTCGATGAACGGAAAGTTTTACTTCTCGATGCCTCTTTAACAGGTCTTGCTGCACCACCTAAATAATTATCTGGCTTTATCCTGGGTGTCAATGCACCCTCAAAAGGCTCTTGCACATCTGCACTGTCTTTCCAACTACCCAATGAGTTTGTATCTACATTATCATTTAAGTCGGCACAATCTTTCCAACTCCCAATTGGGCGATCTGCAACACCTATATAACTATCTGATTTGTTCCTGTGCGCTAATGCCTCATCAAAAGGCTCTTGCACATCCGCACCATCTTTCCAACTACCCAATGAGTTTGTATCTGCAGTATCATTTAAGTCAGCATAATCTTTCCAACTCCCAAGTGGGTGAACTGCACCACCTACATTGTTATCTGATTTGTTCCTGGGCGCCAATGCCTCATCAAAAGGCTCTTGCACATCTGCACCGTCTTTCCAACTACCCAATGAGTTTGTATCTGCAGTATCGTTTAAGTCAGCATAACCTTTCAAACTCCCAAGTGATCGACCACCTACATAACTATTTGATTTGTTCCTGCATGTCAATGCATCATCAAAAGGCTCTTGCACAACTGCACCGTCTTTCCAACTACCTAATGAGTTTGTATCTGCAGAACCATTTAAGACAGCACAATCTTGCCAACTCCCAAGTGAATTGCCGTAACAATTGTCATGATTACCATTACAGGCATTAGAATCAGGAAGTTCTGGAGTCAAAACTACGAAATTCTCTTGTTGCTTCAGTTGTTCTGCATCACCAACAGCTTCTGCAGTCATACAAATGAACTCTCTGATCAGAGAACTCGTTGAATCTATAGTTTCTTCTTAATCATTATCCACAGCATAAGAGTGTCAAAGACAAAAATCAAGTTGTTAAGCCACATCATTATCCACCAACAAAACTTCTAGCTTTCACAACTTTCTGATGAAGATACATTCTGAGTCATATGATTTCCCACATGGACATCCAAAATGGTTTTGTAAAAAGCCTTGGGTTAGTCCACATATTGTGTTGATTCCTGATTAGATGTTCACGTTCTTCCATATAGTATCATAGTGAACATTAGTTAGTACATAAAGACTAATGTTCCATAATTGAAAGAGGGATACACATGCAAGAAAGCATTATAATATATCAATGTCCCTTATAAGAAAGAAGTATATGATATTATATCATCATGTCTCACATTATATAAAAACACTGAGATGAATTGAACTACTTCACCAATTGACTAAAACACTCTAGGATTATAAAGATACCTATTAGGGCAGCTAGGCTTATATGTCAATAGTCACAGATTTCCCTTTTTGATAACCGTAGTGTCCAAACAAGCTTGCACATACCCTCGACTAGTTCCACAAGATACCTCCCACCAGCATCAGATACTACCTCATGGTGCTCGGCACACTCCATTGACCAGTAAGTCACACTTATAGGTGCAAAAGTTATAAATGAGGAATTCTAACGGATTGTTTTTGATTTATTTTTGTTATTTTGATTTAAAAAAGAGTGCTTAAAACACTTCTTTGTTTTACCCAAACATATTTTTTGTTTAAAATCACCTAAAATATGTCGATCCAAACTGGCTCTAAATTCCACTACATAAATCTAGTTTCGAATAGGAGTGTGTCTAATCCCAACTACAGCTTACAGCGTAAGCTTATCTGCTCGAGCTTGTGGGTGGTAATAAGATATCAAAATTCTTCGATTATTTCATTTAGGAAACCTCTCTAAGCTGAGAAATGAATGCACTTTGTGTTAATCAGTTAAGAAGCGAAGAACATTACGAATTCCATACATGTTAATACAGAGAGCTAATAGAAAGATAGAAATAGAGAGAGTACCACGTCGTCCGAGTGATCGGATACGATGGGAAAGCGTATGTGTACAGCTGCTGCAGAAGTCACGGGAGAGAAAGGGGAACCAGTTAGATAGAAATTCACCGGCGATCCGTAGTTCATCGGCGTTGTAATCGAGGAGGAAACGATCGGTCGTGCTGCTTCGGTGGTGGTGGTCGAGCATAGCGGCGAACTGACGCGATGAACGACTCACCTGTAATGAAAATTCTATTTTTTAATATTATTCAATTAATTAATGTTTCAGCTTAAATAGGAGTAAAATAGTCTATTTCTAGCAAAAATTAAATAAATGTCTGTTATATTTACTACATATATACTAGAAAGGGGTCGATTTGTCATTGCACTCAGAGGCGTTTGAGGTTTCGAAGTTTCTGAAGAAGTTTTCTTTTTTTAAAAACAGATTTTTGTTTCCTATTCCTAAAAAAATTGTTTCCTATTCCTAATTATCATAATAATGATTCAATTCAATTGACCTTCAAAAAGAGGCACGTTCAATCTCACTATCATTAATGACGATTAATTTAAAATTTTCATTCAGAGATTCAAAAAATAAAAATATAAACGTGTGAATAAGTCAACAAAATATAATTTCAAGGAAGTACTTATAATTTATAAGTATTAAAAGTTTTAGTCCTATTAGCAGAGATCTTTTAACACGTTTGAATTTAAAAGGTAAAAGAAAAAAATGATCACAATCTAAATAGATATCTACCACTACACTATAACTTAATTTTTATTTTTTTAAAAAAACTCAAAATTATACTTACATAAATTCAACATTATCTTATAAATATAGTAAATTTTTTATCGAGGAGGCTCGGGTGAACTCCCGAATCAGTACCGATGATAAAAAATAGTGAAATAGAAAATGAGAAGTGAAGAAATACAGGGAAATAACTCCATATTATAAAAAGATGCTTTTTGAAAAAAGGGTAATGAAGAACTTGAATAGAATTTGGAGTTTCCCAAAGAGGTTTTAATTAGAGTGGCAACTTATGGGAAATTGTCATAGGATATTTTGATTATGACAATTTTAATTAGGTATAATTCCTTGATAAAATTAACATGTTTTTAATCAAATATTTATGTAGCAAAATGAAGCCTAAAATAATTAACATTCCATAGCCATCTTTGTAATATAGGCATGCCCAAGAGGGAATGAATATTTAGGAATCTATGCAACTTAATCTCCTAAAGAAATTATTACACAATTTTCTCTTGCTTTTCGAAAAAAACTAAAGAAATATTCGCAAAATAAAAAATGGGAATTTAGCATCTTCACAAGAAAAAACATATGGTTCTAATTAGCATTCTGAAATGATTAAATTTCATAATTGAAAGCTTATATATAGACGCTTATATTTTAATTTTTAATGTTTGACATAGATGTTGATATTGTTTGTTGATATTGAACGTGAGAATTACTACAAGGAAACTGTGAGTTACATGGGGATTTCTAAATAATTAGTATGAAAATTTATAAAAAAAATAAGTTTCTGCGAATTTTCATTCTAATTCTCAAAAAAATTCCCACGTAATTTATAATGTTTTTGTAGTAAAATGAATGTTAATTATTAGGTCAAATAAATGAATAAAAAAATGTTAGGTGTAATATGCATGTTGTAAAATGATTAGGAATTACAAACAAATGTATATTATGTGCATACAAATTTCAATTATAGTAAAAAATAATAATTAACCAACATGTATATATACAAAACATATTTATGCAAAAGTCAACAATAACAAAGAACAAAATTGCAAGTGTATATATATTTTATATCGATTCATATACGAAAAATACGAGGAAAATTTTAATCCTCAACCGAAATATACATATTTTATACGAATAATTTTGTGCGAATTTTTCAAGCCTTTGAGCAAAAATTCCATACATATTTTGTAATTTTTCTTTATATGTTCTGAAATCTAAATTTTTTTTGTTAATCTATTTCTTAGCACGTATATAGCGACGATTCTCTTTTTTCTTAAAATGATTTAAACATGTATCTGTCTCTTTCAAGTCATTAGAGAAAGCTACTTATCTATGCATTAGGAGGTTTGTATTAAAGAAAAATCTATGCAATTAGGTAAACATAAGTTTTATATTTATTTTTTAAAGGTTTATTTCAAAATTACTATCTAATAAAGTTACGTATTATTAGCAGCAAATTTATATGATTATATCCAATTTATTCACGCATATTAGAAATTATCTTTGGCTAATTTTTTTCTCTCACCTCTGCTATCAGTATTTCTCCATCATACCGTGATGACATTAATTTAGCACAATTTACTTTAAATTTGTTCAAATTCAAATTAAAGATTTTCTAAATTTATGTTCTTTTTTGTGGTTATATATTCATATCAGATAAAAATTTTAATTAGCGGTAAGTGTATCTACACATATTTCTTCTCCCAATTGCAAGATTATTGATGATGGAAAGCCGTCCATACATAAAGTATCAAAGCGATATGTGCTTACTTAAATATATGCATTGTATCATGATATCTCGTGTATCAAAAAGTTATCATGATACATCATGTATCAAAATTATACCAAGATATCATCATGTAATGCATCAAAAACGTATTATAATATATGATCTATTAAAAATGTATCGTGATATTTCAAAAATATATCATGATACATCATATATTCAGAAGGGTATCATGATATCATTAATTGTATTATCTATGTAATTGTTCTTCTCTGTGTTTCAGATTTTGAAATGTTGAATCAAAACTTGAATGGTTGACAACTTGGCATAATTAATAAACCACAACAATAAATTAACTTTGATACTTCAATTCACAATCATCAATAGATAAAAAGAGAATGAAGCCAATGGAGTAAGTAAGAATCGCTAGATTTTGTTTTTGAATTTATCTAGGCACAGATTGTTTCTGATATCTCGTTTATCATCAATATTCTACGTTAAATCAATAACATAAATTTCATAAATTAATGTAATTTTTCACATTGTAGCCTTAATTATTCTATTCAGTCAAGGGATTGCATATTCAATAACAACAATCTGAATTGCATCGGTGATACAGTTACACTAGAATTTAGGATTAAAAAAA